ATATGTTGATTAGCTTCATTTAATTTTTTACCTTTTATTTATAAATCATAGCATTGTTCCATATTCCACACGGATATAGCTTGTCAATTTGTAGTGTAAAAGCTAAAAATTAAAGAACAAAAACAGAAGCATGGCCCTATTAGGCCAATCTTATTTATGATCATTGATCTGAAAACCCCTAGACAAAATCAGATTGAATCCAGCCAGCATATCAATGCAAAGATAACGAAGCAGGCAGGATGCCAGATCGTGAGGCCGTGTTAACCCAATAGAAAACATTGTGATGTTATTGTTTAGACTCCCTGCATGAGACTGCCATTGTCTAGGTCTAAACTCTGGAAACACTGAGTCTTTCTTATGCTTCCATCTAATATCCTAGGAGTAGGTAAGAAAAAAAAAAAGCAAAGGAGGGAGTGAGGGAGGGAAGAGAGAGGGAGGAAGGAGAGAGGGAGGACCCTGTTAATATCCCAAAACATCCTTAGATGAAAGCCAGTCCCCAGTCAGGACTCTTAAAACATTCTAAAGACACAAACTGGGACTTGAACCTTCTTAGTAGGACAGCAGAAAGGCCTTCCTAAACACCACAATAAGCGTTAAGTGTAATGGGCAGTTTTCCTGCAGGTTTCCAGGCAGCCGAGAGATAAGACCAGTGGCCGTGATACTGCCAACCATTCTCAGTATTGTGCTGCTGATCCAAGCCATTACAGTTAGACCCAGACACAACAAAGGAAGCTATAAAAATTAGAAAGGAGAGTAGAAAATTGTCTCGTTTATTTAGAAGACACAAATGACTCAACTAATAAGCTCTCAGAACCAATAAGACCATTTCAACCAAGCAGCTGGTGTTTCTGCAACCAATTAAAATGTGTAATCAGGAAAATAAAATTCTCATTTGTTATTGAGGCAAAAACTGGAAACCATCTAGAGATTTGTCCTGCAACATGTGGATAATCTTTACAAGAAAATTATAAAACTTGACTTAAAAAGAAGAGGACAGAACTGTAATAAATTGGGAAATGCCATGAACAGGGGATATGAACCGGAAGTCACAGGAGGGAGGTAGAATTGTCGGTGAACACACCGTTGGCCCTGCGAAGTCTGGGTGGTGAACCAGGAAATGTAAATGAAAATGAGATGTTGTTCCGCCTCCACCAAACCAGAAAAAAGCCTAGCGCCCAAGAACACTGAGTGTTGGCATGGATATAAAGCCAGGGAAACCGCTGGACGAAGCTAGTGTGAGGTTGGGCAGCCTCCCTCTTTGGTGAACAGTCTGGTGAGATCCGGCCTGATTGAAGGCAGGGACTGCCCTAAAGCCAGATTCCTTGTTCTGGAGGAACTGAAGCCCACATTTCCAAACAGACATGCAGGGATGTCCACAGAAATGCTGCTTGCATGTGTGTTATCCTGTGTGTAAAGTTCTGCATGTAGGGAGGTGAGCCAGATGCACATAGACTGTCTGGGGTTTCTCAGGAAGATGTTTCCATCTTTCCTATATATTGATACTGGCCCATCAAATGGTAGCCTGTTGGAAATATATATATTTGAAAGATCTACTTCTTGGATCTACTAGCCTGTTAGAATACATACACATGTATATAAAGATCTGATGCCCAACACCAGAGGAAAAATATAAAGCCACCCATAAATAAGTAGAAAATCGTTCTATGATGCATTGACAACTTCGTGAGATGGAGCCATGCATTGGAAGATTTAATGTTAATACTTCTTTTTCTCAAATCAGCCCATTTCATATAACACAGTCCAAATGAATGGCACAGGACTTTCCTTTGAAGGGGCGTTGTTTTCTTTTATTAGTTTGGAAAAACCTTCAGTATACCTGGGAGAGTAAATATGAGAGAGTGCCTTTCTAAAGGAGACAGTTGAGAATTTCATAGAGATGGTTTTTAATTGGTGATGGGTGGGATATTTTGTAAACAGGGTTTTGAAGCCTGGAATGGCAGAATACACCTTTAATCCAAACGCATAGCGGGTAGCAAAGATGGGTCTCTGAGCTTAAGGCCAGCCTGCTGTACATAACAAGTTCTAGGCTAGCCAATACTACGTTATGAGACTGTCTTAGAAACAAAAACAAGTAAACACTCCCCTACCTGGGGGTTTGTTGAATAACTAATGGACCAGGGAGAAAGGTAAAGTCTTGCATAGTATGCAAAATAAATTCTGAATGGATTTAGGACAAAAATACTGTAGGTAAAGCCTGACTGTCTTATTGGTGGTGTTTGTAAGAGTCTCTTACCTGCTTCGGCGAGTCCTCTGAAAGCTGCTAAGTAAGTAATCATGCTGTAGACGGTGTTAATTTTGTGCTGGAAATCCCCACGGCTATTTAAAGCTGCTGTGGAAAACTACTTAAAGACTTGAAAATGATGTGCACTGTATTAAGCGGAGGACCTGATTGCCATGTGCACTTATAGCTTGGTCTCGTTTGTGTGCATGGACGTACTCCTCATACGTGCACGGACGTACTCATACGTGTGCTCATGTATATGAGAACCAGAGGCCAATGTCTCAGTCCGTTCATCTTCCTTTAACCATGGAACTTACCAGTTTAGACTGGTTAGCCAGGGAGACTAGGGGTCCTACCAGCCTCCCTAGAGCCGGGGTTAGAGGCACATGACACCACCACCACATTGCTAAATTGATGTGGGCAGAGCGCAGGAATGACAGACTAAAGAGACTGAAGAGAAAAGTCACAAATGAATCTGAGCAGATGGACGAATGCAAAGTTACATGTTCAGGAGAGATGGGCTTCGAACTGGAGGTGAGAGGATTCTTTACAAGCAAGGTTTTGAAGTCTGGCATGATAGCTCACATCTGAATCCCAGCTCTCAGAGTTAAAGCCTGACGTGCACACACACACACACACACACACACACACACACACTCCATAGAACATACAAGCCTGGAATGATCTCCACAGGAACAAGACAGGTTCAAAACCTGTTTTCTTTTCTTTCTGCTTTTCTGTTTTATACATTTTTCTGCAATGAATATTTTATCATAATGATACAAATAACCTTTTGGTCCTTAATGGGTTAGAACAAATTATGCTTTGAGATTAAGAGGGAAAAAATCCCACACCCGTTATACTTATTAATTAACAATAATTTCTTAATGCCACCATACATCCAGGGAATGTTGAGATCTCCAAATTATCTCGTAAATGTCATTGTATATTTTTGGATTTACAGTTTATTTGAGCCAGGCTCCACGTAAAATCTGCATGCTGGATTTGCTGACGGCTGTTTGTTAACCTGTAGCTTTTCCTGTCTCTCTTCCCTTTTCTTCTCTAGCTTCTTGGTTGAGGGATGCACCTGCTTGCTTGTTCTGTAGCATTTTCTGCATCCTGACTCTGATTTCCACCTGCCCAGGGTATTATTTTAGCTGAACTTCTAGCCTCAGTTTTCCTTGTTAGGTGGAAATTGGATACAAAGACTCATTTTGACCAGGTTTGATATTTCCAGGTACAACAACCCTACATTCAAATGTTCTGTTCCCCGCTAAGAAGCACTGGGTATCTGGTTTCTTAACCAGTCATCAGCATTGATTCCAACAGATGTTTTCATGAGTTAAAAACCATGTTTTTATGACACTGAAGATAGCTCAGAGGGTAAAGAGTTTGTTGTGCAAGCATGAAGATCTGAGTTAGAATCCTTTGAACCTGTATAAAAGCTGAGTGTGGTAGTGTATATCTGTAATCCAGCAAAATGGGAGGTGGAGACAGGAAAATTCTGGAAGCTCCCAGGCCATTTAGTTTGGTGTATGTAGTAACGTGGGCAAACAAGAAATCCTGCCTCTAATGTGATAGAAGGTGAGACGAATACCAAGACTTGTCTCTGGCCTCTAACCCACATTGTGAAGTGCGTGCACACACACACACACACACACGCACATTTACTTTTTAAATGATGTTTTTATAACACTTTGAAGACAGCAGTGGTCTCAGCTGTTTGAAGTGGTGTCATCTCAGAATGGAAGCCCAGGATTCTTGTAGAAGAGTCGGGAAAGAGATTGGGTGCTAAGAGCCTGCACCGTACAGCACTGTTGTTAGCGGGAAGGGTGGCTTGGCTTCTGAGATGGAAGGACGGAAATATTGCTCCAATTTGCTGGCAGCTGGCACCACATTGTGTGCCGTGCACAAACATTCATCTCCCACCCATAGATCCCATCTTTGATATTTACCAAAGCGCCAGGGGTCTCTCACTCAATCACAACTTCTGTTGTTATTTGTACAACTATCTAGAAAAGAGCAGCCACCTCGAGACCTGGGGAGCCAGTTCATTATTCTGATGATTGCTGCCTTTGCTGGTACTCAGAAGTTCAGGGGACAGATGGGAATGAGGGAAGCCAGATGCCAGCACTATTCCCCTATTGGCAAACCCAGCAGGCCCTGGCTGGATCTCTCATTATGCCAGGAAGGGGCAGAGGCTGGCCCTGGGGAAAGGCAGGGCACCATAACATGGTGGTCATTTTTTAACTACATCCTCTTGGCACCCTAATGATCATGCCCAGTAGAATAGTCAAGGGTGGCCACTGTCACAGGCAGCCAGGACAATGTCTGTGTCATCTACTGGAAGGACAAGAGTTTATACTGAGTGATGCACACATGCCGTGTGCTTTCATCCTAGCTGTCTACAGAAACAGATGGCTTGGGGAAAATCAAGCAGCCCCAGCCTGGCCTCCCAAGGCTGCTGAAGAGTGGGCCAGTAGCATTGAAGCAATAAGAAAACAAGCAGATTGCCACAGGACGGTTAGAGTAGCAACTGGTTCCCAGAGACTACAGACACACTGGGCACAGCGCTAACAGCAAGGGGAAAGAGGCAGCTCACTCAGGGGCTAGCTTCACTTTGCTACCTTTCCCACATCTGATGGCTACCTACCACTCTAGCAGCTGTTAAACGTTGGAAACGTGGGCTGCAGGGTGAGAAGACCTTGTTTGAAACAGGCAACTCTAATGTCATTGGATTGGGGTCTCTGCTCTCCAGGTCTATGATGGCACTAACAACTCTGCCCGTTTACTGGGGGTCTTCAGCCGCTCTGAGATGTTGGGGGTGACTTTGAACAGCACATCCAGCAGCCTATGGCTTGACTTCATCACAGATGCAGAAAACACCAGCAAAGGCTTTGAACTTCAATTCTCTAGTAAGTCATTCTTGGGTCTGAGTAGACTATGAAGTCAGATGTTTCCATTTTATTCAAATGAACTTGTTTGCCCAGTAGACGTAAAGAATACATGCTCGTGTGTGTTGGCCAATTAGTAACTAACAAGTGGAGACAGAAAATGCGGTATGTCCATACAGTGGAGCATTACTTGGCAACCAAAAGGAAGAAGCGATTCATGCTTTAACATATATGAAGCTTTAAAACTGTGGTTCTCAACCTGTAATTCTCGACCCCTTTAGGGATGGAATGACCCTTTTGCAGGGGGATCACATACCAGTTGTCCTGCATATCAGATATTATGATTCATAGCAGTAGCAAAATTATAGTCATGAAGTAGCAATGAAGATAATTTTATGGTTGGGGTCACCACAACACAATTAGCTGTACTGATGGGTTACACACTAGGAAGGGTGGAAACTACTGATTTAAACATGAGCTTGGGCAGAAGAAACCGACTAAAGGCCACACATTTTAAGAACTTCATAGAGCAGATACAGAGAGACAGAAGGGACATTGGCTGCGGGAGTGAGAGGAAAATGCATATAAAATTTCTTGAGATGCCAAATATCACTCTGCAGCTGTGGCAATAACTTCACCATTACTCGAGGGTGAGCAACAGTGGGCTGTTCACTACTTGAGATTGGCAAACTTATGTTATAGTGACTCCAGTAGCCCAGTGGGGCCACCTCGGGATCTCCCTCACCTAGGTGCAGAGATGTCTCATGAAGGGATCTTTTCCTGTTTCAGAAGTGGCTCCGTGTAACGGGATTAAATAGAGTCACATTTGAATTCCGTTTCTATTAACTGAAAACGGTGTGAATCTCAGACAATTTAGTTAACCTTCCAAGTCAAGGCTCTCAACTGCAGAGCGCCCATAATTACACCCACCTGCAAGACCTCTATGAATAACAAATGAGAGGCAAGGTCTTTGGAGTCCCATGGAGTAAAGTGGGAGCCCATGGGAGCCTCTCCTCGTACAGTCCTTTCAACACAGCTGCTTGTGTGGCGATGTTCCCTGTGCTACTGGGTCTCCTTGCAGCATCCCAGTGAGCAGAACGGAAGCCACAGATCCCACTCACTGGATGCTACACTGTCAAGCAAAGAAATAGAACATCCAGCCCCAAGCATGCACACTGTTAAAATCTGCATCTTATTTGCATAGAGCAGCAGAGAAATACTCCCTCCACAGAAAAATAGGACCGGGTCAGGAGCCTGAGGCTGACATACCCACAGTGATGGTCAGGGCACCACCGGACAGAAGCTGGAGGGGAGGAGAGAAGCAACGGGGCTCTGTTACCATGGCTACTGTTCTGCCTTCCCCAGGTTTCGAGCTCATCCGATGTGAGGACCCAGGGACCCCACAGTTCGGCTACAAGGTTCACGACGGAGGTCATTTTGCAGGGAGCTCAGTGACCTTCAACTGTGACCCTGGCTACAGTCTCCGGGGCAGTGAGGAACTGATGTGTTTGAGTGGTGAACGCAGGACGTGGGACCGACCGCTGCCAACCTGTGTCGGTACGATGCTTCTTGATTTTCAAGGAACTCCTTGATCTTTCCCTAATCTGAACTCCAGCCTTGGCGTCAGCAAGGACATCCAGGGCCCTGGGCCATCAACCAGGATCTACTCTGTCTGTTAGGGAGCACTGTGGCTTCTCCATTTCCTCCAATTCACACTTCAGTACACAGGCAGTACAGTCCACATGGTGGCTTACCACTGTCACACACATGCAGTCTGTGGGGCCCGAGCCAAGTCACATACCCAGAGTTCCAGCACAGGCAGTGGAGAAGTGGTAGGGTGTCTCTGACTGAATGAAGAAGCAGCTTCAGTGCTTCCTGCTACACCAAGACTCAAATGAGCCTCTGGTTCACTCCAGGTCTCAGTTTCCCTATAGTTAAAATGGATCCATGTTCCATCTTTTAGCAAAATTGTAGAAGACTAAGGTAATGAGCTAGATCTGATCTTTTGCTTAAAAAAGACAGTGGTGTGAGCATGCACCTTCCCTTCTTAAGCCCTGTGGCCCCTTTGAGTTGTCAGCAGACGTTCCCAGGAGGCTTTGTGCTTGCTTCACAAGACCAGAAAACAGTGGTCCAAGGCCGAAAGGAAAAACAAGCAGACGACTACTGTTCTGTTTGTCTGACCTCCTCACTTCCCCGCTGCTCAGAATTCTACGGCCCTCCTCATCCTGTTTCCCCCAAACCAGATCTTGCCAGTCAGGCCTCCTCTGCCCAACACTCACAATGCACTTGTGCAACACAGGTAGATCTGATAAGAAGGAAAGACCCGCTGGGGGAAACCATGAGTGCCATCCAAACCACACATGCTAGAAAGAGGCAGGCAGGCGTCTGGGTATGCAGATGGTCTAGCTGAGTATACACAGGGCCAACTGGATGAACAGCATGGTGAGAAACTTTCGTGACCATGGCTGTTCCTGTTCCCCTGGATAACTACATTGTAATGGGGTCTCCACATGTCACACAGAAGGTCAAGATGAAGAATTTCAACCCAGAAAGTAGACAGTAGCAGCCCATAAACAGCCCTTTGGTCTTCTTCCTTTGTTACTGAGGTTGAGACAGGCTGTAGGCTTGTCTCTGCTCTCTTTCCTTTCATTCATGTGTGTGTGCATGTGTGCATGTACAAGTGTGTGTGTGTGTATGTGTGTGTGCATGTGCACACATAGATAGGCATGTGTGTGTGTGTGTGTGTGTGTGTATGAAACCAGAAGTCAGCCTCAGTGTCTTTCCTTATGAGTCATTCACTTGGAGTTTTGGGGGTATTTGTTTATTTGTTTGTTTTGTCGAGGCAGGGTCTCTCACTGGGAGAGACCAGGCGCTGGCCAATTGAGCTAGGCTTGCTGGCCCCAAGGACCCTCCTGTCCCCATTGCTCCAGCACTGGCGTTACAGCAATAGGAATTTACCATCTGTGACCATTCCTCTTTTCATTCCCGTCTTTCTTCATGTTCAAGGCCCTTCTTAGGTGCTTAGAATTCAGTGACCACTCAGGCCAGCCAGAGAGACACGTGGATAAACAGACAGCACTGTGGTGCCACAGGGCAAGCAAATCAAAGCAAGCAAAACAAATGAGAGATGGTGACTCCCACAAGATAACTGTTTGCTTTGCAGAAAGGATTCCCTATCAGACCCCTCTACTGGCCAATGTGTCAATTACAGTGGATTTAGAGGATCCAGGCAAACAGGGCTAGGAAGACTATTTATACTTTGGGTCTTAGGCCTTGGAAGCCAGGTCTCTTCAGTGAGACATCCTCATTGCAATTAAAAAAGTGAGACCGCGCGTGTGTGTGTGTGTGTGTGTGTGTGTGTGTGTATACACCATATTGAGGGTAGAGTTCAGAATGGGCTACTGAAGTGACTGTTGCATCTGTAAATATTCAAGTGTTTCCTTTGTCGATAAGGCAAATCCACAAACCAAGTCTGGCAGCCTAAGCTCCAGGATGGGGAGAAAAGGGAAGGCCAGGAAGAGTGGAACCTCAAGGAGTCACTGCTAGTGAATGCTGCAGGCTGGTATGCTCCAGCCCTCCTGCCCTCCTGCTACCCCTTGAATAAAGTAACCCCAAGGGGAAGGAAAAGGCTAGGTCCCTGTGAAGCTCTCCCCAGGGCTCCTGTCTCCAAACACCCACCCTCGAAGGTGGAAGCCAAGGTCATGGCTCACGGCCTCCCACTCTCCCAGCTTCCAGCTCCCAAGCAGATTGGTGCTCACCCTCACTCCTCCACAGGCTCATTTACCTCTTGCCTTTCAAGCAAGCTGGAACTACCCACCCCAGCAGCAGCAGCAGCACAGAATGGAGGCCCAACAGGGAGGCTAGAACAAAGGGGCTAGTCTCCTGAACACTTACTGGAAATAGGTCTCTCCCTCATCCCTTCCTTAGGGGTCCCAGGTGAGCCTCAGGGTCAGAGTGATGCTTGCTTCGTCAGCCATAGTGACGGGTGAAGGTCAGTCTCCCCTCTGATACTTTGGACCCATCCTCTCCAGCGGTTAGCTCCTTGCTTAACCACTTGCTCCCTTTGCTAAACAGCTCAGCCTCAAATCTCTTCGCTTTCCCTCATGCTTCCTTGGTTCAGAAACAGTAATTTTCCTAGGAGGCAATAATCTTCTACTCACTGAGCCATGTATCCATTCACTCGGTAAATACTTATTAAACTTCTGTTGTGTGCCCAGCACTTTACCACACACTCGATGTGCGGTCAATGACAAGGTCTCTGCAGCCAAGAGCCTGGTCTGGCAGGGGAGACGGACGCTATTCTAATGCACCTGCGATATACTCACTTCGTCCACACTGGGCTGGAGACACAAAAGACTATAGTATCCACTTTACCTGGGCAGGGGAAGGTGTCACAATGGTGGCTTAGGGACGGTGTTTATCATATTGTTGGCCCAAGCAGAGGCTGTCTGGGCTATGGAATTAGTTAATCATTCTTGGAAGGACCAGGGCTCCTTCTAGAGTCAGGGAGGCCAAAGGAAAGACAAACAGAGGGTACGGATTTTGCTCCAAAAGTATGGCACAGTCTTCTCTTGTGAGGACCCTCAGATAGCACTGTCCCAGCTGAGAGGTGGAGAGGTCCCAAGCTGAAACTCTAGCATGGAAGACAAAATAGGGGCAACATGGGAAATGTCTCAGATTTAGGGAGTCTTGGAAGTAGACCTGACTAGAGGAGGCTGCGGCTGAGGGAGCCATTGGCTTATGGGTTAAGAGCCTTACTCTGATGCAGAGCCCAGGCCTCTCCACTGGTTTCCTTACCTTGAGGTTCAATCCTCTGGGTCCCTCTGAGCTTCTCCTGCAGCCTGCTCCCTCCCCTTTGTCAAGAGAGTTCATTCACATGTGTACACACGGCACTTTTTCCAGCAGCAGTGTGTGCTCACAGCAGCCTGGTATACATCGTTGTTTTCTGCCCAGATCCCTAACCCTGTCGTCCACCACTGTACATCCATACCTCTCCTCTTCTCTCTGATTGCAAGGTCTCTTCCTCCTGTCCTTCTCAGCTGCCCCAGCCACCATCCAATATTTTCAGGTCTGGCTCCTCCTTCAAGGTGCATTTGAATCCACACCCTCCCTTCCTAACTCTCCATCCTGCACCTGGGAGAACCTGACCTCTTCCTCCCAAGCCCCAGTGCTTGCTCAGGATGGGCAGATGTTTGGTGGTGTCTCCTCCGCTGGCCCTGACCTAGAGAAAGACTGAGTTTAGTCAGCTGTGTGCTTCCTGGCAGCTATTGCAGGTCCCCTTGCTTCACCACCAGGTACAAACTCCTTCTTGCTCTGCCTCCAGAAGCTCCAAGGAATTTGGTCATAGAGTAGGCAACTAGTCCTCCCCTTGGGGGCTATTTCATTTACAAGTCTATTAACCCACTGAAAGTACACGATTCAGTTGTTTTTGTTCATCCCTGGGCCTGTATTATCATTTCCCCTCAGTTTTGAACAGTTTTCCTCCCAAAAAAAAAAAAAAAAAAAGTCTACTCTGCCCATTAGCGGTTGCTCATATTCACTCACCTGAGCCTTGGTAAACACAGTACACCTTCCATTCTTCCATTTCTTTTATTCTGGGTAGTGTGTGTGTGTGTGTGTGTGTGTCTCTGTGTGTGTCTGTGTGTGTGTCTGTGTGTGTGTGTCTGTGTGTGTGTGTCTGTGTGTCTGTGTGTCTGTGTGTATTCTTTTGTGTCTGGTTTCTTCTACTTAGCATTATCTTTTCCAAATCGCATGTCCGTACATTCTTTTTTATGGATGACTAATATTCTGTTAGAGAGATACCACAAAATGGACACTGGGTTAGCTTCACTTGTTGACTACTAAGAATAACACTGCTAAGAACATTTATATTCAAGCTTTGATGTGAACATATGTTCTCACATCTTCTGAGAGAAGAGTTACTATATCATATGGTGACTTATATTTAACAAATTTAAGAAACTACCTACCAGCTTGCTTCCCCAAATGGCTACATCATTGTACATTTTTCTACCAGCAATATGAAGGCCCTCGTTCCCCTACAGCCTCACCCACACTAGACATTTTATTACCAACACTCGCCTGTCAGTCATAACCATCCTGGTGGGAATGAGGTGACTGTGGTTTTGATTCACAGCGTCATAACAATTCCAAATTATGGCACGTATCTCCTCACGTTCATACTGGCCATTCATAGATCGTCTTTGGATACATGTCTACTAAAATATTTTGCCTAGCTTTTAATTGGGTAGTGTGTCATTTATTATTGAGTATTAAGAACGTGTTTCTGGTTCTGCCTACTAATCTCACCTGAAGAGCTTTTTGCATGTTCTATTTAACCACCTGCAATGAGCTAGAGGGACCTGGGGATCATTCAGTGACTGCTGGATGCTCAGGCCACCCCATGATACTGTTGCAATTTCTTTCAGCTGAGTGTGGAGGGACAGTGAGAGGAGAAGTGTCAGGGCAGGTGCTGTCGCCTGGGTACCCGGCTCCCTATGAACACAATCTCAACTGCATCTGGACCATCGAGGCAGACGCCGGATGCACCATTGGGTAAGTGTCCAGAGCCAACAAAGAAACACTTGCCACTTGTCACTTGACGCTGTCACCAGCGTCATTGACAGACCTCTAGCTGTTGTTGGGACACTCCTGCCTCTGCTAGAGAACTATGGGATCAACAGTGGCCACAGTGGCCCTAAATTTGGACTAGGCATGTGGGACTCAGCCTCAGCCTCCTGGGGGCTGCATCTAAGGCCACACAACTCACTGCTGGGACATTTCTACCACAGAGCCTCAGGGTCCAAGGCTTGAAGCTACACAGCCCAGGTTTGGATCCCGGCGACGGTACCAGTCATCAAGGGACTGCTTGAGCTGTGTGAGTTAGGCATGTTGCTTTTGTTTTCCTCTCTGCTTCCTCATCTGTAAAATGAGAAGTGTTCATATTTTATATTTCAGGGCTGTGGGGAATTAAGTAACAAAAGCCAGCAGTGACTGGCATTAGTATATTTTCCTCCCAAAACAGCTCCCTTCCCGAATCAGCCTCTGAGTCAGGAACTCCTTAGAGTTGCAGGCCATCAGAGAACAAAGGAGCATCTCCCACTGACAGGTGTGCGGTCTTTCTAGTGACCCCTTCCCAACAACTCTACTGATTGTCGTCTGTTTGTCCGTGGGGAAGCTAAGAAATCACAAGACAGTGCCGTGTGCCTAAGCTCTGCAGGCTACAGAAACTGGAGAATGCCCCAGATCTTTCCAGATCTTCACATTATAACACAGTGCTGGCCAGGGTGAGCCTTGAGCTGTATAGTTCAAAGAAGGCAGCAGGCAAAGAGCAGGCTGGAGTGACAGTATGCTCAGAGGTCTCAAAGGTGGGCTGGTTGAGAGAGTAGGTGGGCTGGAATAGGAGCTGCATATGGATAAGAGCCAGATGGGACTAGAGTGGCCTGGTTATGAAGAACCTTAAATGCCAATAAATAAGAAAAGTCATGGGAAGTCTTGAGCAGAGTTGGTTCACCAAGGTTATTGGCAGTATAGAGAGCTCACAGGAGGATTAGAGGTAAAGAGGGAACCATGAAAGGGTTGTGACTAGCAGGGTTTTCAGTAGGAGATGTGAATGTGTTACTGAATAAGATATAAACATTCATAGTCCCTAGTATGCACCATTCACTTAGAATTAAGGAAAGACAGTGCTCACCCTGTCCACGTTTTTGAACTATATCCCATGGCATGCCAGTGACTCACACGGGAACTTAGGATGTCCTAAAGTCATAGTGCTGCCGGAATGACCTTCCTGGCACTCACCAGACTCTCTGACCCCTGATGAGCGCCTTTGACATGTCAGAGTGACAGCTGAGCACTTCATTCCAGCCTTCAGGGCCACCAGGACTTCAGCTGACACCTCCGTGTTGTTTCTCACCACTTGTCTGCGATGACAGCCTGGGAAAGCTAAGTTGCTGATGACCCCCTATGTGCACACTCACAGCCAGGAGGCTCCGATGAATGACTGAGCGGGAAGGATTGGGATGTACAGGGAGTTGTGTGGTTTGTGACTCTATAGTGGAGCCTTGGCAAATAATGACCAAGCTGTGAATGCTGGAGAATGAATGGCCTTATGGCATGCATATGCAAATCAGTTCTCCTGACCTTCCTGAATGGAGCATCTTTCTTTCTTTCTTTCTTTCTTTCTTTCATTCATTCATTCATTCCCTTGTGTGACAACTCTGTTACTATGTAGAGTCTCTGTTCTTGTTCAAAAAGGAATCCTGCAGGCAGGCACAAAACAAGGTTGAGGGGAAAGGGAGTGTGAAGGCAGATCAGGAGGCGCAGAAAGTCATCCTGAGCCCTGAAAGACGGTGAGAAAGTTGCCAGGTAGCCAAAGAGGAAGGCCAGAGGCAGAGAAGTAGCTTCCCAGCAAGGCAAGGTATTTTTCCCATATCCATTCCCCCCACACACTGAAAGGAATGGGAGTTGGGAGTGATTCTCGGCCGAGATGAAGTCCCATGATTAAGGGGCTGGCAGAGCAAGGGCTACCACAGCAGAGGGCCTTAGACTGTGTGCCTAGTTTGGGTATCTGGCAGTTTAGTGGGCAGAAGGGACAGGCTGTGTTGGGGAGTCCTTGAAGGAGTTTGTCTCCAGGGTTTTCTGGGTGAGAAGACCTGTACTAAGCAGCTGCAACTGAGATGAGGAAGAAGGGACCAAACTCAGAGGACGTTTAAGTGCTCCTGCCAACTCACTTCATTCTCAGTAAATACGAAAAAATGATGATTTCTCATTCCCCAGTTTGACACTGCAAGAAACAATACCTAAAACACACAGAAAGATTGGGACAGCAATAACCAGCACGTGCCACTATTGGAGGATGGTTGGGACTTTATCTCTTCTGTCTTTTTCTTTCCTCTGAAAATCACTATTTGGCTGAAACATTTCAAAAGTCCGTTGGAGAGATTCCAATGCTTAGGCTCTAAGTATTTTGACCAGCACTGTCCAAAGAGAAAGCATAGCCCACATTGGCATCCACAAGGGTTCTTCCAGCTCTTCCTTAGGAATTACAGCTTTGGAATAGGGGCAGAAAGAGGCAGGAGATGTTCACAGGCAGCAGATTCAAGGGTGACAGGGAAAAACCTAAGAAAGAAGAGTGGGGCTGGGAGCAGAGGGAGGACAAGTTCACTGCCGAGAAAAGCCAGCCAGGAACCAGAGGGGATGCAGGAGGCTCAGGTCAAAGCCAACACAGTAGACGCCCTCTCCAGAACTGTGCAAGAAATAGGGTGGCATGCAATGGGCTGTATGTGCATGACACACTCAAGACTCTGTGTATGTGTGTGCACATGAGCAAAGGGACATAGAATATGAAGATAGTTGGACATGCAAGATGGTTCAGTGGGTAAGGGCACTTGTTGTCAAGTCTGACATCCCATGTTCAACTGCCAGGCTTCACATGGTGGAAAGAGAAAACTGACTTCCCCATACTAGGACCACCTCGGATCCACCAATGATATAGTTAATGACACAGAGGCTTTTCAGTATTTTAAAGTTTAGGCCTTTTGCTGGGCAGTCTTGACTTTCTAAACTTAAGTCACTATGTCCCACCTCATGGTCATCTCTACCTCTCTGCTCTGCTCTGGCCCCATATGTTCACCTCTGGATCTGCTGGCCAAATCTCCCAGCATCCCTCTCTCTGCCCAGAAGTTCCATCTTTCACTTCCTGCCCAGATATTGGCCATCAGATCTTTATTACAGGCTATCGGATACAATTCTAGATTTCCTTAGGCAGGTAAGGAGGAACAAACATTTACAAAATATTTGAGACCCGTGATGCGCCATAGAAATAACAAGAGCAAGATCCTGACACCATTTAACTCTCTGCCGGTACAGAATTAACAACTGAGTACACAGAGACAGGCTTCCACATTGTATATCCCCAACATTCCGAGTTACTTCCTGACCTCCACAAACATGGCATGGCACATACGTACACATACAGAACAAGTAAATAAAAACTTACAAAGAATATAAAGATACCACCAGCCCTCACTCAGGCAACCTTCTCACAGCCGTAGTTACCTCCATAGGGACCACTGCTAAGTAGGGAGGTCTTCCAGCCACACTGAGAGATGCTGAGAGTGAAACTGAGGGACAGGACACTCCACACATGGAGTCCCCACCCAGCTCCACCATCCTTCTGCATTTGTACACGTTGCACAGATGTGTGCACCTATCTCCCCATTCCCTCTCCTCTCTTCCCTCCTCCCTTGGTCCTTTCTCCTTCCCTCTTTTCTTCCCCATCTCCCTCATTCTTTCTCTCTTCCTCTCTCCTCTCTCTGACCCTCTCCTTTTCCCTCTCACGCCTCACCCCTCCATTTCATCCGCGCTTGAATAACCAGCCGCTAAGTGAAAGGAACTAATAACTGACTGATCCAAAGGGACCCTTTGTGGTTGAGTCCCATGTAGGCCTTTTTTTTCCTACTTGAATATTGTTATAGTTTTTTTTTCTATTAAAAAAAATAGGAGGCCAGCAGGATGGCTCGGTCTGATGACCTGACTTTGATTCTGGGATCCACACGGTAGAAGGAGAGAACCATAAACTATCTGCACTCTGCCCCCGTACCCCAACACACACACATACTATGGCACCTATGTGCCCATATTTTATTTTTAACAAAAAGCAGATAGCCATTTTTTAAAAAAAATTCAAAATGCCACAGTAGCAAACGTCACAAAGGATAAGTCCAGAGTCCTCACATCTCACTGTGTGATGTTTTACTCCTCCATACACTCTACTAAAAGTAACCCCTGGCCCCCTTTCACTTTTAATTCCTTTAGGCATCTTGTGTAGCCACACACACAAAGCAAATCCAGCGGGTGCAGATTCTTAAACAAGTCCACCTCGTTGCCTGCCTTAGCAACGTGCTTTTCTGTTATAGCACTTAACCACTGGCATGATCTTATTATGTTAATATTAAGAAATCACTCCCCTGGCTGAAGGCTGCAGAGAAGCCCATTGTGTGCTGAGCCATAGTTGACAGAACCTCTCCCCTGTGGATAAAGTGAATAGTTTCAGATTTTCATTCCAATGAACACGTGTACATGAATCTTTGAACATATATCCAACTATTTCTTTGAAATACATTCTTTGAAGGCACATGTTCACACATGACCTTGAATTTCCCTCCAGATGCCACATCAGCTTTCTGCACCCTTGGTGGCCTGTGGGAGGGCTGGCTGTCCACACAGCATCTCTCTGCCCCTCCTCTACTCTTGATTGATTACTGCTTCCAGAAGTTTGGGGGTAAAAGGATTTCTCTTTTGTACGCAGCAGATATTATCTGGGATCACTTCTAAACACTTCCTTATTCAACTTAAAATTCAGGAAAAATTTAATAATTTTGTTAAAGTCAGTAAGTGCTTATATAATTTGCATGACCTGAATTTGGAATGTGCGTGCATGTATGTGTGTGTGCGTGTATGTGTGTGTGTTTGTATGTGTGTGTGTATATGTGTGTGTATGTGTGTATATATGTGTGTATGTATGTGTGTGTATGTGTGTGTATGTGTGTGTA